AGTCACTTACAGGGTAAAGATGGCTATGCGGTTCTACATTCCTGGTCTCTACGACCTAGCCGGCACCGCCCCTCTTATGCTGTGGTTGGAGCAGATCTATATACCAGGCGCAACCCGCCACGCAAGGGCTCGCGGCTTCTGGTCTACAACCCGACGGGAGAGCCGCTCTCTATTGACAGCAGGACACTCAGGGGGAAGATAGAGGTCAGGTGGTATGATCTTGTGATCCTACGACTGGGGAGTGTAAAACTTTCCATTACAAGGCAGAATATGCTTCGTGCCTGTGACCACTTTCACACCCCCGTCTGCAGATGGACATCATGACCAGCAGTTAGTGCTGGAGAGGACATCTGAGTGGTAGTAGAGCCTTCTCCGTGTGTGTGAGAGGTGACTTCTGTCTACGTTCATTGAGTGTTGGTGTGAATCAAGGATTAAGCGCATGCCCGGGATCAATGCAAATCCGCATTGGGTTAGCTAGGCGAAGACGACGCAGAAGGATACCGGAGATATTCCACGCCAAAACGGCAACCACATGGCGGTGCGAACAATCACATTCTAATTCCGAGGTTGGAAATGGCACATGCAGATCCATTGTATATGTCGGCTACAATAATACTTGTACGGCAGCGCACAAGCGAGCTCGGGTCAAAATCGCGAAGATGGGAACCACATTGATAGGTATACGGTGGGGTTCAAGCGAAATGCCGATGTAGATCCGTGCATCCGACCCGACGGGTGGCGTAAATACCGCACCACTGCATGTATATGAAGCCTCCATGTCTCAACTAACGGCCCAATGGCCTCCCAATTTGGATGTCGAAGACGGTACACAAAAATAAGTTGCACAGGATTAATCTAGGATGGATAGGTGTAGTTCCAGACATTAGGGCTGACTATATCTCCAAGAAATTCAAAAATTGCGTTGACCCAATGGAACCCCAGAGTATGACGGCGCCGAAATACTGAGTGTGTGTATCCGCAACCATATGAACCTTCTATTAGTGCCACACCCCACTCTTTCTATGTTCGAGGCCTTTTGCCTCATCCTTACTAAGGGTTATGAAATCGCGATAGTCGTGCAATTCTATCACATGGACATGGCCGTTTCCCCAGCCACCCCATGCCATGGTACCATAACATCCACACTCCTCCGCTGCTCCGGCCCCACTTCTCCAACACTTTGGAGCCACCATAAACAAGCAACACGAACGAGCTCCGGTAGTTGGGACCAATCATTCAATGGCAGCGGGTCATATACGGAGAAGTATCGGGTATAGTCCGCTTAAAAAGCCGCTTTAGGTCAATCCGAGATTGATTAACTGGAACCTTACGTCACCTGTATCGCTTTTCTCCGCATTTTCCCCACACAAGATCGTGGTAGCTCGCCAGAGACATGGGGTACGGGGCATTCCAATGCGGCACTAGACGGGGAAGCTAACCGGAAGAAATCTTAAAAGGGCCGAAAGGCAATTAAGTACCGGAATGTCCGAACTGATCGAACCATCGAGAGAGCCGCAAAATATGTAGCTGGCCACTAAAAGTGCGGGCTAGTTTGACCAGCTCATCGGGATCGGCGGAAAGTGAGGTGTGAGTAATTGGTCGCGAGCACGCGGGCCAATTGAGGAGTTTGTTCGGAGTCGGCACATAGAGCCGGGAGAAACAAAGGTCGATGCCGAAATTGACTTATAAAAGCTCAATAGTAGGGTCGTGAAGACGAAGCCAGAACCGACAGCACTCAGTGTCGAGCCTCATCGTCCCTTCATCACAATGGCTACCTTTCGCTCTCTGCTCTTGTCAGGCCTCTTGGCTTCTACGACCAAGGCCCAGGCATTCGACGCCGGCGTACGAGGCGAAGATGCCTTCAGCTATGTCCAGCCTCTGAACACGACCATTCTGGGCCCGTACGGGCATTCACCCGCTGTGTTGCCATCGCGTAAGTAAAAGTATCAAACTTGATCATGGCCCTCGTATTCTTGCTAACAGCTGCCTAGCGAACACGACCGGCTCTGGCGGCTGGGAAGAAGCCTTCGCCAAGGCTCAAAACTTCGTTTCCCAGCTGACACTCGAGGAGAAGGCCGACATGGTCACCGGCCAGCCGGGACCATGCGTGGGCAACATCGTCGCCATCCCGCGCCTTGGGTTTGGGGGCCTTTGCCTCCAAGACGGGCCTCTGTCGATCCGAGTGGCCGACTACGCCAGCGTCTTCTCCGCGGGTGTCTCGGCCGCATCGACTTGGGATAAGAATGTCCTGTATGAGCGTGGTCTGGCCATGGGCAAGGAGTTCAAGGCCAAGGGCGCCCACATCGCCCTCTCGCCCGTCGCTGGTCCCCTCGGACGCTCGGCCTATTCGGGACGAAACTGGGAAGGCTTCTCGCCCGATCCTTACCTAACCGGCGTCGCGATGGAAAAGACCATCCGGGGCCACCAGGACGCTGGCGTTCAGGCCACTGCCAAGCACTACATCGGCAACGAGCAGGAGACCCAGCGCAATCCTACCTACGACCGTAACGGCACGGTCACCGATGTCATCCAAGAGGCGATCTCTTCCAACATTGATGACCGGACCATGCACGAGCTGTATCTCTGGCCTTTCGCTAATGCGGTCCATGCCAAGTGCGCGAGCTTCATGTGTGCCTACCAGCGACTCAACGGTTCATATGCCTGCGAGAACTCCAAGGCTCTCAACGGGATCCTGAAGGAGGAGCTCGGCTTCCAGGGTTACGTCATGTCCGACTGGGGCGGCACTCACTCTGGTGTTGCTTCCATCGAGGGCGGCCTTGATATGAACATGGTAAGTTCTTTTCCACTCTCTTCATTCCTCATCGTCTTCTTTCTCCCGCGTTTGTTTGCATGCTGTCTAACCATTGGTTTAGCCTGGAGGGTTGGGCCCCTATGGTACTGTCCCCGAAGCGGGGTCATTCTTTGGCGGCAATGTCACTCTCGCCGTGAACAACGGCACCGTTGACGTGTCTCGCGTGGACGACATGATTCTCCGCATCATGACGCCCTACTTCTGGCTGGGACAGGACCAGGACTTCCCCTCCGTCGATCCCTCCTCCGCCGACCTCAACACCTTCTCTCCCAAGTCCACCTGGGTCCGCGAGTGGAACCTCACCGGCGAACGCAGCCGGGACGTCCGCGGGGACCACGGCGAGATGATCCGTCGGCACGGAGCGGAGGCCACAATCCTTCTCAAGAACGAGAGGAACGCGCTGCCGCTTAAGGCGCCCAAGTCCATCGCCGTCTTCGGTAACGACGCTGGTGATGACGTCATGGGCTTCTACAACCAAGGGGACTTTGAGTACGGAACTCTCGTTGCTGGCGGGGGTTCGGGTACTGGCCGGCTTACGTACCTCGTCTCTCCTCTGGCTGCTATAAACGCCCGTGCTAAGGAAGACAACACCCTCGTACAGCAGTGGCTGAATAACACGCTCATCGCCAACAGCAACATCACCGACCTCTGGATCCCCGAGACTCCTGACGCGTGTCTCGTCTTCCTGAAGACCTGGGCGGAGGAGGCCGCTGATCGCCAGCACCTCGACGTCGACTGGAACGGCAATGAAGTCGTCGAGTCCGTGGCCAAGTTCTGCAACAACACCATTGTCGTCACCCACTCCTCCGGCATCAACACCCTCCCCTTCGCGGACCACCCCAACGTCACGGCCATCCTCGCCGCCCACTATCCGGGCCAGGAGTCGGGCAACTCCATCGTTGACGTCCTCTACGGCGACGTCAACCCCTCCGGAAAGCTTCCCTACACCATCGCATTCAACGGCAGCGACTACAACGCCCCGCCCACGACGGCTGTCAACACTACGGGTGTGTATGACTGGCAGTCTTGGTTCGACGAGAAGCTCGAGATTGACTACCGCTACTTCGATGCTCACAACATCTCCGTTCGCTACGAGTTTGGTTTCGGACTGTCGTATTCTACCTTTGAGCTTTCCGATGCCAAGGCCGAGCCCCTCGCCTATGGCATCATTTCCAAGCCCGAGGACCTACCCATCCTCCCTGGTGGAAACCCCGCTCTTTGGGAGAGCGTGTACAACGTGACCGTTTCTGTCGCCAACAAAGGCGACGTAGACGGCGCGACGGTGCCCCAGCTCTATGTCACGTTCCCCGACAGCACCCCGGCGGGCACGCCGCCCAGGCAGCTGAGAGGATTCGAGAAGGTGTTCTTGGCAGCTGGCGAGAGCCAGACTGTCGGGTTCGAGCTGATGCGCAGGGATCTCAGCTACTGGGATGTCGTTTCGCAGGAGTGGCTGATCCCGGCGGGTGAGTTTGTGCTGAGCGTCGGGTTCAGCAGCCGGGATTTGAAGGAGGTGGTCAAGATTACTCCTGTAGAGGCGTAGAGGAAGAGGAAAGAAATGCTTTAATGATAACTATGAATATGAAATGATATTACTAGCGCGCCCTCGAGGTATGTCTTGTTTCGTCATTGCATTATGAAACAGGTCCTCCATCCCTCGGGTCCCATTTAGGCCGTCAATACTAAGATGATCCTGCGTTTCCGCTTCACGGTCTAGCTCTGGTGCTGGCCCAAACGTCGAATACTCCGCGCTCTGCTTATAAGGTTGACTTATGAGTTGAAGCTTCGCGGGATCAATTTACAAGACCTGGGGCAAGAGAAGCCATGACCCGGTACTCCTTATTACCTCGGGACCTTGTTTGTCGAGCCTGTACTTCTCTTTTTGAGGGGAGGGAACCCTCATTAAAGCATAGTTGGGCAGGGGAAATAAGTCACTTTGTGTAATAAATGAAGCTAGAGAGTGAATGTTTACAATTGATACAGTGCCGGCGAAGCCTCACTGGAATGAGTCGTCCGTTCTATCCCAGTTTTACTAGCTATCAGGAATCGTCTCAGAGCGAAGGCAGTGTCAATTAATTACTCTTTTGATGCAGCTCGACTCCGATTGTTAGCTCGATCGGTTTTCACACCGTCCGTGCGCAAGGGAGGAAAAAGGAGAAAAAAAAAAAGGGGAAAAGCACAAAAAAGTAATTGCGACGACCCGGGTTTGAACCGGGGACCTTCAGGAGACTGAAGTCTTCAGTCTGACGCTCTCCCAACTGAGCTATCATCGCTAATTGGGCTTGTTGACATTATTGACCCTCGATTGATATTTTCTATTGTAGTCAGAAAGTCAAAGCAGGACTCAACTTGGAGGACCGCTGCAGCACCCACCCTAGTACCCCAGGAACTTGTGCTATTTTCAAGTACACTAAGCTTACTACACAGGCCAAGGTGCCCGTGGCACCAAAGGCCGAGTATTGTGGTTTTAGATACCGAATCTGAGAAGAACGAAGATATGACGAAGACAAGGAAAGTGGGTGGATAATAATACCATGGTAATCTGTCGAAGCGAGCGTTTAAGGCGCTAAACATGATTGGAGATCGATACCTTATCCTTCATCCATTCCATTCCCTGACATGAATGATGCCGAGGCGCGCCAAGGATAGTAAACCTCTGCGACGTGTGCGGGCGGGTACTATTGTTTCCGCCAAATATAGAACCCCCCAGGCCAACATTTCTGCTGATATCGGATCCATCTCCGCCCCTTGGGCACCCGTCCAACCACAGAGTCCATGGCAGGCTGGATTGCTCTTTTATGCATTTACACGCTGCGATGTGCTCCAACGCGAATTAAAGTCCTTATTTTCAGATGACCGATTGCTCCCCGCCCGGTCTCGCGGCTTGCGGTGGCCAACCATCCGGTGCATGTTTCAGAATCCTTTTACCTATCACCCTACCTACCCTTAGATATAGACCTCGGGCAGTTCCTGTCATTCCAGGCACCACAAACCCCGCTTTCATGAATAAACGCGCCAGGGCCGCGTTCCGAGTCTTGGCCGTTTTTCCGGTACCCGACTCGTCCTTGGCGCGGTATGGATGGATTCAGACACCCATGTGGCAACTAGCAAGAGGTATGCTTCATTTTCCATTCTTGGCCGGGCTTGTGCGGGAGAATTACAGGGAAACTAATTGCCGATCCCAATCACTTTTCAAGGAGGATGTGTTGGCTCGCTCGCTCCAAGCCAGGCTGTGCAATTCGTAGGATCGAGAAGGATCAGTCTGAGGGCTTGTGAAACTGGTGCGGACCTCTTGGCAAGGCAAACAAACCAACATGTTTGTTCGGTACCAATCCTCGCTTAACACCCTGTCGGCCCACATATTTTCCCAGTTTTGTATGTGCTGGCGAATGAGAAACGAGGTCATCCAACCGCCTGCAACCCCCCTCTGCTCGCCCGCCCTTCTGCCTTGTCCCGCGAACCAACATGAACAGACGTTATCAGGCAGCGCCGTTGCCTAGCACAGAAATAGGCGAAGGGCGGTATGTTCACTGGAGTTCCGGTTACATAAACCCCCATCAAGGTCCTCCACTGCTAGGCGCATGCGTACTTGCATTATTACACCCAACGACTCTCCCGGCCATCTAAGCAACCTTCCCGGCTTCGCCCAGGCGCCCAGTTCCATACTACATACTACATATCTTACCTAAATCTATCTGCAACCATGAAGTCCTCCGTTGCCCTTACAAGCATGCTTGTCCTCGCAGCGTCGGCAATGGACCCCTCCAGCCTCAGCGACAGACACCTAGCGCTTGCCGAGCGCACCACAGAAGAGAGCTCCTCCTGGACACTCAATCGACACCGCAGTGTATTTGCCCGCGCAGACAAGGTTACATGCGATACGGACGATATTCAAAAGCGCGTGGATGAGCTCAATGACAACATTCCCACGGAAGTCGACAACCTCGAGGCGGCCCGCTGCTTGCAAGGTATCCCGGAAATAAAGAAGCGCGAGGGTACCACCGATGATTGGATCAAGTATAGTGAAGATCTGGAGAAGCTAGCGAAGGATGTTCGGGACTGCGTGTCGGCTGCTCCTGGGCTGAGCGCTGGGAGAGTGACGGCGGCGGCGGTCGGGTCTCTTATTGCCTTTATCGTCTGGTCATAAGCTCTAAGAAGCACTGGAGGTTGTGCTCCAATTATGAGCGAGCAAATCACGACTTGGTTTTGGTGGAGGTATACCAATGGGGCAGGGATGGGCTGTCACGAAATATTCAGAGCGCTACTTAGTTATATCAATTGTTACTCGTTTCACTAGCTTTCTTCTCCACACGCCGTCTTGAACGACAGTCTCCTAATTGCTTGGTGATTATCTTTGTGACAAAGGATACCACCTCCGCCCAAGTCGAAGGTTCAACCACCCTATTATCATGTGTCGCCGACTTGGATCGCCTCGCCGACCTCTTCATGACCGTTGTATAAAGACATGTCTTGGCAGGCCGATTCTTCAAATGCCTACTGTTTGTTGTGTGGCCCCGCCACGATAGAAGGACTTGATGATGAAACACCTAGAATGCATGAAAGGAGGGGAGACGGTAGACATTCGCGGGACGAAGGTGTTGACGGAGCGATGATACAGGTCTTACGGCGATGTACCCAATGATTCAGGCGGTCTGTGTGGGTGAGTCGGATCACACCAACATGGACTTCATTTACGCCAACAATCAGATGATGATAGATTGGTTCGAGACGAGCTTAACGGCTTCTCGTCGCAATTTCGCGAGGACTTCCAAGTCCGTTTCAATCGGTCAAATCCGCTCACGGCCTGGACGGGTAATTTAGTGTTCCGTCCGTGATGGCTGATCTCATGAAGCAGCAACTTCGTGCTCCCACAAATGACTGACCCAAATCAGATCAGTTGCAGCTATAGTCTGAATACTGAACTCTAATCAGCACATACGACCATAGCTCGTGGAAAACTGAGGGTCCCGTCCGCTCCCCTATATACATAAACCACGAAGCGCTAGACTAGTAGTTGGGTCGGTGACGACCAGCGAATCCCTGGTGTTGTATGTTTTTAATTTTTGGGTCATATTTTGTCACACGAGGTCTTGAGTTGCTTAAGTAAACAGGTCATTCTCAATCGACGACGTGGCCGGCAGGATATGCGTAGCTTGTTTCAAAACCTTCAAAAGGTCTACTTTACTGTTAGGGTATACCGTCCCTGGGCCTAACGTCATGCTTTGCGCTCGCACCAACGCCGGCATCGAGAGCCTGCTGTACTACGGCATCGGTCGGGCACAGTCCGGGGCGACGGACCGGGATCTCCTCTTTCAAATAGCCAGGTACCGGATTTGCTCTTCGTCAGAGACGCCCCAGTAGTGGGTACTGGTGCCATACCAAACCACCTGTGCACGTTCTTGGCCATTTGCCTCGCCGAGTTGTGTAAGCCTCAGCAAGAGAGTAGGTACCGAGGCCTCCCAACCGTTTCATTTTTGGTTCATGGGATCTTCGAACGCAGGTCAGGCTCCTTCTATTCCTTGGATTGTAGCTCGCGACAGGTTGGTACGTTTCATCGCCTAATGTCCTTCAGGACGTAAGGACGGAGACGCATCAGAGTCTAAATTCTCCTTCGCACCAAGGGGCAAGCCCAAGGAGAGATGAAAAACAGAAATAAAGATGCCTGTCAGACACCCCCAACACCCACCCCGCCCCTCGCGCCAAGAGGCAGACCGAGAAACGGGGACGAGATCATCACCACTCCCTATACAGCTTTCCCCAAAGGGTACAGGCCGCCACCTTTGCAGGCAGTTCGGGAGCCAAACCAGGAACACCAGTGAAGGAGTCCGTAATATCACTCTAGGGCGTCGGGGGATCGATTCATCAACCAGGGTGGGATCTGTGGCTTCTTTGGGAAACCAAGAAAGGGTCGATTACTATAGAAATGATTCTCTGAAGTAAAGTCGACATGAAGAAAAGGAAAAGAAGAAAAGTCGAAAGAGAGGGAGGCGAGGCGAGCTTTTATAGGAGATGGGAGGTGGTCCGTGTCCACCGTATGTGTTGGTGGGCCTGGGTGAAAATTTAAATTTTCTTTCCCCGGCGGCTGGGAAAAATCAGATGTGAAACAGTTGTTATCAACTGGCTTCTTCCGGATCCAACATCCACAACCTCCAGCTGTGCAAAACTCCTCAAAATTATTTTTCACCTCTCTTGCAGTTTGTGCCCCGAAGTGTATTGGGTGCGTGAAATGATATCTAGAGAGGAGAACTGCTCCAGGACAATAATAGTTTGAGTTGTCAAGTTTGAGTCTATGGAGCTGTGAACTGAAGGTGCCAACAGAAACGATGAGGTATATGCCCTCCTATATCGACAATTGGGGCTCAAGGAATAAGCCAATTGTTGCCCGTTTATCACCGTGGAGCCTTATTCAGGACGCCTCTTGTTAACAACAGAGGCTCAATCTAGCTCTTGCTAGTTTGCTCTCCCACAACACACAATACAGCCCGTGCCCGCTCGGGGCCTATTCGGGACGATCACCAAGACACCTCTCGGCACTAATATTTCGTGATCGATCTTGGTGGAAGTGGCAGGAAGACTACATGATGTTATGACGGATTCGAAAAACCCAAAGTCTGGAAGCTGGCCGGGGTTATTCTCGTAGTGTGTGGAAGCAAGCTGGACCCTATGATACTGGCGCGCCGCTTCTGCGGACCGATCGATCTCAAGGTGGATCTTGATAGTCGCCAAATACATGTTTCTGTCTTGTAAGGCAGTGCTTTATTCTGTGGATATCGACGTGGAGAAGAAAGCCGTTGTGTACAGCAGGAATGGCGCCCATACGGGAATTGCTTTGAATAAGACTTAGACTAGTTTCAAGACCAAGGAAGACCATTGAGGCGTCATCCAGTTCTTTATTTCTCAGTACAATGTTTTTCGCCGCAATAATCCACCTTCGATAACAACGGCAACAGAATTGCCTCCGCATATCCACCCACACATAACAAGATTACCAAAGGGCAACACCCGAGGCAACCCTTTAGAGCGGACGCTTGTAGTCGCCACCGGCGATTTCTGGCGACGGAGATACCTTTGCCTCAGAGACCTCATTTCCGTTGCCATTTTCGCTGTCGTCTCCCACCGGCGTCACCTCGAGCCGATTTCGGTTACGGCGACGACGGATCCAGTCGTCGGCGTATCTGATAATAGCCAGTGTCAGGCCGAGTGTGAGCACGCCAATGTTGATACTGAAGCCGCGGCGGTAGCGTGGTTTGTCGTCCGATCGGAAGATCTGGGC